ATTATATAGTAAATACTAATAGTAATTTATTTTTCCATTAGTTGGTACTATTTAGTATTTACGGTATACTAATTTACGGCAAAAATAACGCATAATATTATAAATTATAATATATATTATTGTCTAATAAATAATAATTATTATAATATTAAATCATTCACTATTTATTGTTATTACTTAATAACCTATTAGTCAATACCACGTACCGTATAACTGTGTTAATAGGTTCGTGGTATAAATAGCTTAAAACTATTCTAAATCAGTGGTTCTCAACCTTTTTTATTCATTCCACCCTTGGGTGTTTTATAAAAATACCTGAGGACCTTATACGGCTATACCGGTCTGAGGCTCTATAAGCTACCTATATGATACATTGATAGTTGATACATATTACATAAGTATAAGATTTTAAGATTGCTTTATATTTTTATTTTTTCATAATTTCGTGGCATATTTTATTCTGTGATATCACACATCCAACCCGTCGTTCTGCACACTAGTGCGTAAATCAATGGTTTATATTTTTTTTGCAAGCGTGTAAAATAAAAATATTTAAATATGTATAAAAAAAATTGTCTCAAAGAAAATCAAATTAAATTTTTATGAGCTTTTGAAGTTCAAATTTTTACAACATTGGATATTCACTCGATGTCTCGATTTCTCAAGTAGTGAGTTTCTGATTTTGTTGTAGTTCAAAAACGAATAACCGTAGACACTTGAAATTTATATCATGTTTATTTTATCGATTCCTTATTTTTTCAAAATATTTTGACTGTGTTCAAGCTGTTTACGGACATTTTTCATTTTAAATTTTAGATTCTGAGTGAAACGATGAATGTATTGATTTTACTATGATGATGTGTGTTTTTTTTTATTTTATTTTTTTTTGTGTCTGTCATCACCTTTTAGGACAGTAAAAATGCTTAGATTTTCTTCAACAGTATCTTTTCTGATAGGAAAGTGAATCTAGTTGGTACTTTGGGGGTCAAAATTAAAAAATTTCCAGTAGTTTTCAAAAGCGCCGTGAAAAACAAAAGAAAAATTAAGGAAGAACGGGAATTTGTACGCAAAATCTGTTTTCGAAAAAATCGATTTTGGTTTTTGGTGAATTTTTATATTAGCATTTTCTATACACCATAACATTTCCCAAATATTTTGACTTATTTTGAGCTGTTTACGGACATTTTCTGTTTCCATTTTTTTTTTAGTTATTTTTTCTATAAATATCAATAAAATGTTATTTGTTGGTTAAAAAAGCTTGAAAATTTAACAGAAGGCTCTATAGTATATTGTTTCAAACATAGATGAAAAATATTAAAAATCCATAGCCACAATTTTTTTTTATAAGCATTTAAAGTTCAAATATTGACAAAATACGTAAAAATGACAAAAATTTGCAAATTATTTTGAGTTAGAAATTCATAACAAATTTTATTTTTAAATCTAAGATTTGAAAATGTAATACAAGATTACTCATAAGTTTGTCTACCTTTATCAATAAAAAAATCTCTACCGGACAGTCAAATTAAATTTTTATGAGCGTTTGAAATTCATATTTTTACAACATTTGATATTCACTCGATTTCTCATGTAACAATTTTCTTATTTTATTGTAATTAAAAAACTAATGATTGTAAATACTTGAAGATTTCTATGAATGTTTATATTAGCATTTCTTATACGCCATACAATTTTGAAAATATTTTGACTCTTTTTGAGCTGTTTACGGACATTTTCCGTTTTCAATTTTCTTCTATAAATATCAATAAAATTTGATTTGTTGGGTAAAAAAGCGTGAAAATTTAATGCAAAGCTCCTGATATATTGTTACAATAGCAGTTGACAAATATTAAAAATACATAGGCACAATTTTTTTTTATAAACAATTAAAGTTCAAATTTTGACAAAATTTATCACATTTAAAATGTAATAATAATTTTGTAGTTAAAACTTTATAAAATGTTTAACTTTTATAGCCAAGGATTGAAAATTTATAACAAGATTCAACGAAAAAAGGTTGTATATAAATTACTTTCGCTCAGAATCGTTTTTCTTATATACAATGATATTATATCATTGAATTCAAATTTAATACCATACATTATACAGTGACCCACTTGTAACTTACTGTACGGCAGAGCACCTTTTTTTTTTGAAAATCAAACTTATGAGGAATCTTGAAATTAATTTTTTTATTTTATATTTAAAAAGTAGGAAAATTTTTATGAATTTCTAACTAAAAATAGTTTTGCCCAATTTCTTGATTTGTACGTATTTTGTCGAAATATCTACAAATGCCTATGAAAAAAAATTGTATATTTACTCCTTCCGGAAGAAGAACGTACCTAGGCAGTGCGGACCAAAACAGGTTTGCCGGTATATTTGGTTCATAAAAACATATATGTTTTTTTGTGCATTTTTCAGGTTTTTTTAGGGTATTAAAATCCCAGGCCTAATAATAGTTATTAATTAATAATATAATGAATTCTTTGTGTTTAAAAATAATTAATTCCACCTACTGTAATTGTAATACCAACTGTAAAATAAATTTCTATAGTAGCAATATAAACATACAAAATATATAATTATATAGTAAGTTATATAGCCTGACAGACCGTCTCAGCCCAGAATCATTTTTCATGTGTATTGATTTATAGTTGAATTTAAATTTATCGCATCAAGATACATTTGACACAAACTATATAGCAGAACGATTTTCTACTTCCAAATTTTTTTTATTTCTCCTGCGTTTATTTAAAAATTTTTTTTTTACTTCTGACTATCTCAACTAGATCCAATTTGATAGAAGAAACCACCTTCAAAGTTAAAAATTGAAGTATTTTTAGTTTTTACTTCACCAAAATGTGAGACGACAGACACCAAAAAAAAATTTGTTTCAAAACATAATAACATTGTCTGCAGATCCACTCAGAATCTAAAGAAAACAAAAATCCCTGGAATTTATTTATATAAAAATCTCATATAGGTGTTCTGTCTGGATTTTTTTTACTGAGGTTCATTTAACTTTACACCATTAGGCATTAAGAAGTTGTAATAATACAACTTTTGTTGTTTGATTTCGTACCAAGCACATTTATTGGTTGTATTATTTGATACTATACTAATAGGTAATAATTGAAAAAATTTATAATTAATTTAAAGCAGTTTTTATGCACAGACACATATTATAATAAGATATCAAAATTGTTTCATTTGACAATCAATAATTCTATGGTTGATAGAAGTAAGTATAGAACTGTTGTTTATTTTTCTTATTTCAATTACTGGACCCCCAGACACTATAAATATTTATGTTTTATTATTTGAAATAGATATAATATAAATAACCTTATGGTAATATATTATCATGTCCATGAATATTATTCCATACAATATTCTGTCTCACGAGTGACAACCAAATTAGTCTTTTTTCGCGCATTCCCTCCACTTTACAGTTCCGAGTGGCACCGATCGTTCGCCGTCGTCAACAAAACACCTGTCGGTGGCTGCGAGTGCGTGATTTAGTGTCGCCAGAATAGTGAGGGAATTGGGCCTCAGAAAGAGCGCTGCCGTCACCCATCAGTCTGCATGCGCGAAACGGTCCACTCTCTCGTGGGACATAGTATAATATATTAATATAAGTTTATTTATATTTATATACCTGTTTCAAACATACTGAAATAATATATTGTTAAATATTTAATTTTAATTTTTCAACAATTATACGTTTATAAAAATAAAAATAATTGGTAGTACCTTTGAAATAAATATTATTTCTAGCATCCCCCCCCCCCCCCCCCAGAAAAATGTAGATAATATGCTGCTGGTTAGGTTATGGTATAGGTACTCATTATCATTTAAGTCTACAATTTTTATGGTCATACGACATACACTCATACAGTCATACTTGATAGAAACGTGACAAAAATATGTTATGTACATATTTACAGCATAAATTGTATTAAATATTATTTGCAACTTTTATTCAAAGAATTATGTGTATAATAATCTTTGGTTAGGATTTTAGTAGTCAATTAGAAGATTGGTATATTATTATAAACATTACATTAATTTTGCAATAATATTTAAAATTAAAATAAAAGTTACTTTGAATTTTTAAGTAATCAATTATTATCTCTTGTAAATGGTACCAATCAAAATTTGTATGAAATTTCATAAGCCACACATTTGACATAAATATAATGTTCTCAATAAACTAAATAATGTTAAAATTTGAGTATGCAAAAATACTTACAGCATTTGGGTAAGCTATATATTTTATACTTGAATGAGTATACTAGAATACTGTCTTAACTCTCAAGTATATTTTATATGTGATTTGAAATATTATAAATAATGTATTCAAGCATAATAACTGTTTTTAATCATGGTAACAAAATTGAATATTATCATGCATATTTTTGTCTCTAAAATAAATAATACATTAAAAATAAATTAAATAATCAATTGTTTGATAGTTGTACATGGTATTTTATAATTATAGTTTAAAGCATACTTTTTAAATAGTGCAAACAGCTTTTCAAAAATATTAAGTTAATATTTTAATAATTGTTATTAGTGCTTCTTAAATAAATCGAAGACAAATTACTTAATTTGATTTTTACTAGATGGATAATAGTAATTACTGTTTTATATCATAAAGTTGTATATATAATATGTGTATGTATCACATTTACATGATTTTAAATAAATTTGACTGCTAACACAATATAAACAGAATATACTATACAAACAGTCCATAAATAGATAACAATAGAACTATAATACACAATTAACAAATATAATAATAATTATAATAATAATAATAATAATAATAATAATAATAATGGAAAATACATAATTGCATTACATAAAGCGCTTTAATCAAGATTACCTGTATAACTGAGCTCTGTAAGTTGTTTTATTACAAATAATTATTATACCATATAAATAAGTAAAGTCATAGGTATAGCCACGTTATAATACTGTTAAACTATTTATTAAAATATAGATTCTGCTGATCTTGATAAATGAATTGGATGTGATGGACTACGAGCTAAACGTTTACGTGGCAATCGTTCCAGTGTTTTAAGCATTTGAGCAAAATCTGGTCTTTTTTCAGGGTTAAATGACCAACAAGTCATCAATATATCCTAAAAATTATATTTTATTAATAGATATTGTAAATAATAAACTTAGTATCTAAATTTAAATAATTATCTTTACTTTGACATCACCAGATGCTTCTAAATTGGCTAATCTTTGTTTCATACCACGCCCAATGTTCCAAATAATAACTTCTGGACTGGCTGATTTGAATGGCCATTCACCACATAATAACTCATACCAAACAGTTCTATTAAATAAACATAATTGATGATACAAGTAAATGTAATGCATATAATATTATATGATATTGAAATTATATATTTATTTTACAAAAACAATTACTAATGATTATTGGCTAAATCTGTTAATATTAATTTGATATAAGAAGAATTATTATTTAACTTAACATAATATAATTTTTTGTTTTCTTTATTGAAAGTTTAATAAATTAGTAATTACCCAAAAGCATAAACATCTGATGCTTTACTAAATGGTAAATCTTCTTCCTCGGGTCTTTGGTGAACACGCAAATTACGAACTAGTTCTGGTGCCAAATAACATAGCCAGCCTGGTGGCACAATGAGACCATCTTGGGTCCTATAACAATGTAATTAGTAGACATTTTTTCCACTTTTTAATTATTAATAATTACCGGTTGCGAAAACATAATCTAGTAACACTGAATAAACCAAAATCTGTAATTATGACTTTCCCATTTTCTAAGAATATATTTTTACTTCTAAGGTCTTTATGTATAATACCTTTCGCATGTAAATATCCCATACCCTATAGAAAAAAAATAATGTTTTGTTAGTTTGAATAAAGGAATTAACTATATAAAAAAAGCTTGCCTGTGATATTTGTTGAGCAACCATTGTGGTGCGACTCATATTAAATTTATCTTTGAGCACATGTATATGTCTGTACAATGTCATACCATTTGCAAGACTTGTTACAATGGCTAATCTAGGAAGCTTCATACAGGCACCCATAAATAAAATAAGATTTTCATGACGAGTTTTACGAAAGGTAGCCACCTAAAACGGTTTCTGTGTTACTTCAATCGAATATAAAATATGTTTCAAATACTTACTTCAGCTTTGAATGCTTCTAAAGTTTTTTCATAATCTAAGTAGTCCATATTTATTACTTTGATAGCAACTGGTCCGTGCCAATTTCCACTATATACAGTACCAAAATGGCCTTCTCCTAATTTGTCACACATGTTTAATTCGTCCCAAGGTATGTCCCATTCTTGAAGAGATAGCTACAACATTTACAATTTTTTAACAACATTAACAGATGCAAAACAATTTTTAATTCTCTTTTATTAAACTATAAAAAATGAAATAAAAATACATAAATTATTTTAAGCAAAAATCTTAAAAGGTTAAGGAAGTGTACAATTTTTTTTATTAAAATATTATAATTTTTAATCTTTAATGAATTTATAACAAAAGATGATATTCATTATTTTTAATTATCTGTTTTTTTTAAATGTATACAACTAAAATGAACAGCTACAAAAAATACTCAATTAGAAAGTTTATAAAAGAAAACAAAGAAATTATAAATTATACTTTTAAATAACCTGTCTGCAAACAAGAACGGTAATTCATTAATGTTTTGAAAAAAATTAACTCACGCTATTTTGTCTCGGCCAACCTCTTGTTTCCATTTCATCGGTATCCCAATTTTGAGCTTCGGAAGAATCCATTCTAATTGATGTTTGTTCAGAATCTGTACTCCCACACCTTGATTCAATAAATCTACATTGATTTTTCTAAAATAAAAAATTATAACAATGTTTATTAATTACTATTATAATAAATTAAACTATTAATACAAATATACAACACAAGATTTATAAGTACCTGTAATTCTTGTGAATATATGGGGGTGTCGGGATAGTTGAATTGTTCATGAGTAATAGCTGGTGTTGGTAAAGAAGAAATATGTGTTTGCCTGGTATTGACTAGAGCAGGACTTGAAGGTGTTGAACTATTTGTACTAGATGGGGCAGAACTAGATTCAGCTCCACCACTTTTAGACTAAAAACAAATTCAGAAACAAAATTTATACATTTAAACATTGGCAGATTGATCTTAATTATACGTTTTTTTATATGTAATTGTCCAAATTTAATTAATATATACAAATATATACACATTAATATTATACTTACAGAAACTGGTATTGAATTTATAGATGGTATTCTAGTTTTTCTCTTTGATAATAATGAAGAAGAAGTCTTGTGTGAAGTAGGACGATTAAAATTAGGAGAATGATTAGCTGATGAACTTATAAGCTCTGTACAACAAAAAAATATTGTATAGCATACATAAGTTTATTTAGCATAATATAATTTACCATCAAGAGTTGAGTCATTATCATCTGTTGCAGCATTCTTCGTACAATGTAATGGAACTTTTGATAAACAGCCCTTATGATATCGAAATTTACAAATTTTACACTTAACACCTACAAAATTGATTTGTAAATTATATACAAATTATAATAAATTTAATTCATAATTTTAAAAAAACTTACCCACAAATACTCGTACAGAACATTGTTCACAATAACCAAGCATAGGCAGTAAATTTGAAAAATTGTGACCAGTTTTAACACAAATATCAGGAACTAAAGGTTTTGGAGATTGTGGCGTTGTTAATCCATTAGAAAAAACTACATCAGGATTTAAATTCCGTCGACTTTTTGGTGATGTTAATTTAGAAATAGGACTATCACTGGTTCCTGCAAATAAAATATTGTTAGTTATATATCAATTATATATTACATTCAGCATTTGTAAATAAGGAAAGTTAAATCTTTTTAGTATACAATACAACTAAAAGTAATAAACTGCTTGTATAATAATATAATACCCGAAATCATCATATAAATAATAAATAATTTAATTAAAAGTCTGTCTAAACAAGTGAAAATTGAATGAAGTCAAAATACAAATATTTAAATAAGATTTTTGCATACGTCTATATAACAAATCTAAAATATTACACTTTTTTCAGTTGGTCATTGACATAGTGCATTGAAAATTGTCAGTACTGCCTCATGAAAAAGGAAGGAAGTCAATGAGATAATAAAAAAGATATTATTAAAATGAATGGTTTATTTGTATACAAGAACCTAATAATAAACATTTATATTTAAATAATTGTTTAAGAAAGTTAAAACAAAATCAGAATTCAACTTTGAAAGTTAGATTAGTTCACCTGAAAAGTTGTAAAAATACCCTGTGTTATTTTCCATTTGCTGGGGAATATGTAAAGAATGACAATTTAAAATTACTAAGAACCAATAATTATTTTTGATTTGAATGATTTAAAATTATTTGAATAATTTAGTACAGTAGAAACAGTCTATATTCTATAATGAACTTATTACTAGAACTACTAAATTATACTAGTAAAAAATAGTCATAATAACAGATTATCATTAAAATATGATAAAAGAAAATGTAAAAACTTGATTTTATATTTATATGCCCATAATATTGTATTACAATAAATGTGTCATATTTTTATCAAAATATTGTGATTTCAATAAATATAGAATTAAATTTACTTTGTATTAAAAATCTGTTATTTTAGTGTGTTTGTATTAAAAATTAGGCAATATTTAGTATTATTGGTTCTTATATTAGCTTCAATAAAACTTTAATACAGTCATTATGGATAAAAGATTTTACCAATATAACCGATTTAATATCCAAATAGTCATTATACAGATGTCCTAATAATCAATAAAAATTAGAACATGCAATATAGGAGTTTGACGGGACCTTCAATCTAAGGTCATTACATCCAAAATGCCACTACAATAGGAGAAATTATAAACGGTTTATACTGTAGTTATCTAAACCCAAATTATATAAATTATTATAAAAAATTATAAATTTAACGTGATTGATATTAATAGATATCCCTAATCATAACAAAAAATCATATAAAAGTTAAGAAAAGAAAAGTGTGAACTTTCATATTTATGTACCATTGCAATCAGTAGAGCACCAAATTAATTAAAAAAATCAGTTCAAATAGTTCGATTGAACCACCTACCCCTTCAAACGACTGTGAAACAGGCTAAACTAATTATGTATAAATAATTTAATGACATATCTGTGTTTAATATAATTATAGTAGAAATACTAAGAAGTTCGCTCTATTATTTTACCCACGGATTAAAATATACCCAATACCCTATCCATTATTAAGGAAGTTCAATTGAACTACTTGAAGTACGTTTTCAGCGCCACTGATTGCAATTATAATTGTATACTATTGTAATAATTTATAATACATAATATATATTTAATAATATATTATTTACTTACTATGACTATGATTAAATAAAGTAGGGGTTAAAGGTGGAGTGTAATGATTTAAATGAGCATTTCTAGGGCGACATGATGAAGAAGGAGAATGACCTTGGACAGACGATGGAGAATGTCCAGCTTGTTCACAACGAACTTCATATTGTCGATACCAAGAATCCCAATATAATGTAATTTTACATTTTTCTCGAGTTCTGCTTCCAACCCTTATAGTTTCTAAAACGAAAAAACATAAAAAAAAATTATTTGAAATTGGATATCATATATCAAATTTGTGGCCATTGAAGATTGAATTTTGAGTTATAATATCAAACTAAATATTCATTATTTCCAGAAATAGGTAACTTATGCATAGTATTCCTTCTATAAAAGAAATCTGATGCTAAGTTTTCACAGCAAAAATATTTAAATTAGGCAGACAATTGTTACAAAATATACATCATACAATCAGATCTCGCTAAAGAGAAAAATCTTTAAGATTAATCTATTCAGTTTTTGGAAATCAGCTAGTAAAGTAAATTCATATAGGGTCTAAGATTTATCTTAACAGTATTCTTGAAATCTATTGATAGATCTAAAGGGATCAAATGGGTGAAGTTAGGTAAGCTTTCCCCTGAAAATATTGAAATAAATATAATAGTTATTTAGATATAACAGTTGGATTAGGTGTGGTGTTGCAAACACCATTTCTGACCTCCAAAACTTAGAAACAAACCTCTTAATATCTAGATAACACAAATTTAAACATATTTTTTAACTAAAATAATTATGATCTTGGATATTTTAAAATCAATTAAACTCTACTAGCCCTTAGGCAATTTGTTGTACTAGATAATTGTAACATCCAATAACTGATCCTTAAAAATTAAAAATTATTTAAAGATCACGTCATGTCAAGTAATGTTTAAAAATTTTGCTCCCAATAGGTTTGTAAATTAAACAATTAGCAATGTACCACCAAATGTAAAAATTTAATTAAATCTAAAAAAAAATAATTCTATATAAGGACAAATTGAGGTTGTGAAACACAACAGACTAAATTACAATATACTTCTTAATTATATAAATTATTATATAGTTTCCTATAAACTAATTCTATAATTAAATTCCTTAAAATATCAATCAATCTTTTTTTTTTTATTGAAACAATATCTGTATTTCAAACACAATAGGAAAAATGTCATAATATACATAATAATAAAAAATAACATTTAGAAAAACACAGGGTGAGGGAAACCTATCTAATGATAGAGCCCAAAAGTCAATCTTTATTTAATAACTAATATTGATGGTGGTAGGAAAGTGAACAAATGTTGTTTAAGTAATATCTAGTAAACTCATTTGAACCAATTTCAGGATATATAACCACAACTACCATATTATATATTATGTAGAATTACTTTATCACATATTATACGTATTATACAAATTAATATATTATAAAAGTTTAATGAAATTAAATAATTTTCCTTAAAATATCCACAATGGTGCGATCCATTAAATTTCAGCAAAACTGTTATTGGTCCGTTAATTGAAAAGACAAATTAAATCATATTTATAGCCAATCGTTTTACTTGCGTGCACTAGGTAGTAGTAGTAGTAGTTTATTGTTATTTGAAAATAATAGTTACAGATTAAATTTAACATAAAAAATGAATAGAATGTGAAAAATTTTATTTCTAAAAGCCAAACTAGGTATCTTTTTATATTCTATAACATATTATACAAATATCCAAATTTGTATATTTTAAACACATTTAGTGATTAGTATTAACAACATTATTATATAGGGAACATTATTTTATTATTGGTTCAGTTGTTATCTTTTATAAAAAATTTGACAAACCAATGAAATAGTATTGTATTTTAACATGTATAAAGTATAGCTTTTGCAGGTACAAAATATTTGCACCTGCTACATAATACCAGGGGGTGCAAGTGCACTGTCGTGAACCACCATAGTAAATGTTATGCCACTGAATATACATCAATGATTATTTATATTTAAATAACGGTAGAAAAACACAAAAATGTAATTCAAGTATTAGGTACCTACGAAACTAGTATAAACTAAATCTTAATATATCTATGCAATATATTTTGGATGATGATAATGTTTAATGTTTATTGTATATGCAACATCAGAGGAAGATGAAAAATCAGGCTGTGTTCAGCTAAAATTAAAATATTACAATACTTATTTATAGTATTCTCAGATATTTGTATTAACATCAGAAAAATATAAACTAAAAATCTTTTGAGAATTAAAAATGTAAATAAATAATGTTTAGTAAAATTTACTAAATTTATCTGAAAATTCAATTTTTTAAGCTTACTTATATTTTGCAATCTACAAAAAAAAATTTAACTGATCATCAAAGTATAGGTTATGCCTGATAACCTAAAAGCAAATTTCTTTTAAATTTCAATAATGTTAAATTTTCTAAGCTACCTTGATCCCTCATATTATAATAAGTTGAACATAGTCAGTGCTCGAATTAGGGGGGGGGGGGCTTTAAGAGGATGGTATCCATGCATTTGTTGTCTCTGTCTTACACACATGCGACATAACAAACTTTTATTCTTTAGTTTCAATAGTGTGCTGTTAGTTTTGATACTAGAGTGATTTTACATATTATCAATTTTTTAGATAATAACATTATCTGTGCCTAAGCGTTGACTTTTATTCTCTATTTTAATTTTCAAGCGAGATATGAGCATTTTTTATTTTTCACATTTCACATAATCATATCTTGCTTGAAAATGAAAATTTTTAAAAAAATTGCAACACTTAAGCACAGATAATGTTCTGACTTAAAAGTTTTATAATAGGTCAATTCACTCTAGTATCAAAACTAACAGCAGACTATTGAAACTAGTAGACGACAATTTGCTATGTCGTGAGTGTGTAAGACGGAGACAACAAATGTATGGGTAGCGCCCTCTTAATGTTTATTTTATATCATGCTTGTTCTTTGCCTAGTTTAGTAGTTTGCAGATATTATTTTTATGTACCTAAAATAAACTATTGTATTATCAAATATCTATGTAGGTACTATAGTGTTCACAAATGACATAGATATGCGTCTGAACCACAAATTATAATTATTAAGATATTATTGCCTAATATATAATTTTTTTATTTCCTATTGACATATATTATGTAGGTATTATTTCTATCAATTAAATTTCGAAAAATAAGGTGAATATAAAATATAAATCCATATTCAATAACATGTTATATAGGCACATATAGTGAAATAGGTATATTATATTTGGAAATTTTGAATAGAATAAAGTTAAAATGTAGTAACCATAAGGTGAAATGTAGCATTTAAAAATTAGGAATTGGTTAAGGGGGTTATGGGTTACGGGTCTGCGTTGAGTAATTTTTTACTTGGAACGCATTTTATAAATTGTTTGATTGAGCTCCTCTACTTAATAATTCCCAATTCGAGCACTGAACATAGTCACAAAATATTAACTTTAGGTACATTTCAAATGCAAAATAAATAAAATAATAAACCTAAACCATTAAAAATTATTTTTATGTTTGAAATGTGACTAATGTTATTATGATTAAACATAGTACATACCACTATATTTTTTCAAATTATAAGATGCTCTAGTTAATCGTCTAAGTTCTTCATCTTTGAGAGAGTATTCTGGAAGAATCGATTTTAATTCATTCTCAGACTTTAACAATAATGCTTCAATAGAGCTGATATTTTCACATATTCTCTAAAAAATAATAATTATAAGTACATAAATTAGTAATAATTTTTTATCATTAATAGTGAGTTTTATCCATACTTGTACAGAAAGTGTACTAAGTCCTACAACTTCTAGCCATTGATTTATTGATGGTGAGTTTCTAAGTTTTTGACAATCAAACCGCCCTGGATTTTTATGCCTATTATTCAACTGCACTGAAAACAACTTCACTAGTTTACCCTAGAGGAAAATTGAAAATGTATATAAAGACAAAATACGTATTAAAAATAAATAGGGTACAACAACTGCTTACTTCTAGAGTTCTAATTTCATGTTGAGTAAGTTCTGCGCGAGTCTCGCAAAGATTCCTCAAGCTGATCAACATTTGTGATGAAATGTCGATGACTTTTTGTATCACTTCAGGTTCATCGCACATCAACTGCCTATCAAACTCCTCTTCCGCCATTCCATCATACGGTTATTGCACAATATACATCCTGGGCTCTACGTGAATTTCCTTCACTCAACGTCTAGTCGTAATTCGCTAAGAAGTAAGAACACAAAAAATGTACACAAGACTACAAGAGAAGAGTTGGATCGCTATCACGGAAACAGGTCAGAAAAGTCAGATAAAACAATTTTTTTTTTCGATATCTTCATCATAATTCAAGGACATTTCATTATTTAGGTTACCGCGGTTATGTGAATTAACCAAACTCATTCGTCATTATTATTATTATTATTATTATTATTATTTACTTTTATTATTGTTATTTGTTACTATTATTTATTTATTTTTATAAATTATCATTATTATAACTTTATAAATTATAAATAGGTTGATCATATCCATGAACATTAGAGGAAGGACGCCGAACACAGCAGAACGAAGCGTAAAAACATGGTCCGGAATTATCGCATTCCGCCAGAATGCGCGTCGGACCGTAATGATGTCGTTTTTACATATTGTATAGCACAGGACATTTAATGGTTTTTTATTATTATAATCTAAATGGTGAAATTTATGAATAATTACTATAGAACATTTTTTTAAAACCAAATTGCCCTCGATCGAATATAAGTGTTTCCAATAATATACGACTTTTATAAAAAGAGATAACAACTATATCTTTTTTTATAAAAGTCGTATATTATTGGAAACACATATATTCGATCGAGGGCAATTTGGTTTTAAAAAAATGTTCTATAGTAATTATTCATAAGTTAAACCATTTAGAATATAATATTAAAAAACCAATAAATTCCCTATGCTGTACATGTAAAAACGACATCATTACGGTCCGACGCGCATTCTGGCGGAATGCGATAATTCCGGACCACTTTTATATACACAGTTCGGCGTCCTTCCTCTAATGTTCATGATCATATCATAATAGTTTGTATGTATTTATGAAATACGAAGAAAGTACCTGAATTGAAACATCAAAAATGAAAACTACAACTTTGGTCTTTGAAGTCGATAATAATTTACGTATAGGTATATAATTGTATAAAGAACAAAATATTCCTAGTTTAATCAAAACCACTGCTTTAGATTAGTCTAACATTGCGTAGTATCTATACAGGGGCGTGCTCTCGGGGGGGGGGGGGGGGGGGTTGTCATATCCCCCCATTAACTTTTTTTTTATGCGTAATTTATAGTTTTTCGATAATTTCGGTTTACTCAAAAAAAAATGTAGTGTTTGTATCTGTTCATCCCCCGCATAGGAAAAAGCTGAGCACACCACAGTACGTAGGCCGATGTGCAACCGTTCTATCTTTTTTTTTTTTTTTTTTATTTATTCTCTAAAAATGTTTCAGCACACCAGGTGCTATTACAAATATATTTACAATTATGATTTAGCCTTTACATTTAAATTGATGGTAATAATGATATAATATATTAGTTCATGGTACCTAATAAGTTTGAATTTATGTCGTATGTGATAATAATAGTAATAACAATATGTATACAATATAATATAGTAATATTCAAAGTTTTGGTTTATTCTTCATCTTCTGATGAGGGCTCTTCGTTGTCCGATGGGGGTATGTCTTGGGGCAGTCGAGGTTTTAGCCGCCTATTTTGGGTTTTGTTTCCTAGTTGGTAGTGACGGCCGCCGTCCGATTCTTTTAACTTGGCATGAAAGTTTTTGAATTGGGTTTTTATCCAGGTACTTATTAGGGGTATTCCGGTGTCGTTATGGATTTGGCGATTTCTCATATACCATGGTGCTTTTAGGGAGATCCTGAGGAATTTGTTTTGGAGAGTTTGGATTTTTTTAATTTTCGTGGGTGAGGCTGCCGCCCAAACAGGGCAGGCATATGTTAACAGCGGTCTGATTATTGAGGTATATAGGAGGAGTGATGACTTGATTTGTAGTGTTGATTTGTAGTTTACTAGAGGGTAAAGAGTTCTCATCCTTGTATAGCCCTGAACAAGTTTTTTGTTAATATGAATTTTCCAGGTAAGTTTTTCATCTAGGTGGACACCCAAGTATTTGACTGCGTCGTCTTTTTTATTCCATTGGATGACCTGGTTGTTTATGTGGATATCTTTAGGGTTGTTATATCTCTTAAGAGTGAATATTTTGACCTCACTTTTTGTTGGATTTAGATTCAACTTCCATTTCTGGAACCAGGTAGTTACTTCATTTAGTGAGATTTGTAGGTTTTGGATTGCTACATCTAAGGATCTATCTTGTGTGATAATTGTCGTGTCGTCCGCAAACATTGCTAATTGAGAGTTGAGGGGAATTTGGATGTCATGGCAATAGATTCTATCTATTCTATCCGTTCTATCTAAAGCCGTGATAAAAACTATGGATACAAATGCTATATTTAGACATAATAATATTTATTATTTATAAAACATAATACAATATAAAATATTAATATACATAAATAAAAATAAATTAATGTTGACCAATAGCGTCATTACCCTCCTGGAAATTCGTAGCATGTACTTTAATATCAATATCACTATAATAATATATATTATAATTTATAATTAATTTTTATCTTGCCCCGGTGGGATTTAATTCTGCATTCGCTTGTAGTTGATGGTGCAAACTGCTATGCTGTCATGGTGATTGTATTAAGTTGCCTTTCGGTTGTGTTTACCCCATAGGCACAAATAGGGGGGCTTTAGGTTATAAGCCCCCCAAACGTTACCTAAATAATTCCATTAGGTTCAATTACTTCAATTATTATTAAATTAGGTATTTAGTCCCCAAATCTCGAAAAAAACGACTGGCATACAGTCACTAATGACTGGTCTAAACGCTTAAGATCACCTAACACTCTCACATCACCACATCCAAAAAAGACACTGATTTATTTCACCTCTTCAAATCGCTTCTCTCCATTAACCCCTTCTAGTGAAGACATCCAAATGGTCACCGACAATGTTGAGCAGTCACAGTAGGTCATCACGCCCAAAACCGTCAACCCACCACCAATATTCATAGAATTCGATTTAAATTTTAATAATTTGACCACCAAAATAAAGGAACTTATGCAAACTGATGGTTTCGAATACAAAACCTCCACCAAAAGGGTTAAACTACAAACTTTTGATTCGGACTCATACAGATCTGTTGTAAAATTTCTCAAGGAAAGCCAAGTTGCCTTCCACTCAATCCAGAATAAAGAAGCTATAAACCATACAGAATTGTGATAAAAGACGAACTAACGTCATTGGGCTTCCAACCCAGAAATATTATGAATGTACTTCACAGACAATCGAAAGCACTTCTCCCTATGTTCTTCATCGACTTAGAACTGGATATTAACAACCCTGGTATCTTCAAGCTATCACTCTTATGCTACTCAAAAATAAAAGTCGAAGCCCCTCGTCCCAGAAAAGATACTCCCCACTGTCTTCGCTTTCAATCAAATGGTCATACACGCACTTACTGCATTCATCACCCCAGATGTGTTCACTGCTGTGATCCCCATAAATCACACATACGTCATTATTGCCAACTTTAATTCGAAGCACGAAACATGGGGCTGTCGCTCAAAGACCATTAGAGGTCGCACTCTACACAGCTTTATATCAAACAAGCGCTCTAAAGTTATTTCTCCAGCCTCTCCCACCTACTCTCACTCTCACGTAAACCGCCACCTCGACTATCTTGATATTTGTCTATCTAACCTCCCTAATCATATCCATAAAAATATTTCTAACCTAAATTACCCTGCATCCAACCACAAAAATCAAGCAAATGTTTACATCCAACTTTACCATTCGTCATAAAGCTCACAAGCTGGAACTAATTTCGCAATATTATGACAACTTCCTCCTCTTTAAACATACAGTTAAAAAAACCCACCGATATAGACACTGCCATAAACACTCTCACAAACAACATTCAAGATACACTTCGAATATCTTCCACCACAACTGCAACTCAAGACAACTCCAGAAGTCTTATCACTCTCGAAATTAGAGAGCTCATCTCTCAAAAAAGTCGGGCACGAACACCTGGTAACGAACACACTACCGATTGACAAACATCATCAAACAAATATTTTTCTAACAAACTCAAGTCAACTCTCAAGAAACATAAAAATCAACTATACACCTCCCATATTCAATCTCTATCACCCTCCGTCGGGCTCTCTGAAAAAAAACTAAATCTCTTTTAAAGCATAAATCTACCATTTATTCCCCCCTGCTATTGATCTCATAAACAACAAAACAGTCAAAAACTTACCACCAAAAACCTTCATTATTCTCACCTATATCTTAAATGCTATATTTCGACTATCTTATTACCCTTCCCAGCTTTCAATTCAGTTTCCGAGCCAAACATGCAACTTTTCACCAACTCCAACGTGTAATGGACCACATTTCTACATTTCTAAACAAAAAATATATTGCTCAGGGCTTTTTCTCGACGTAGCTCAAGCCTTTGACACCAACTGGCATGAAGGTTTATTATTCAAATTTAAAAAAAATCTTCCTGGCACCCACACCTTATTATTTACTTTTAAAATCATACCTAAATAACAGAACATTCAGAGTCAAATTAAAAACTACATTTTCCAGCACACTAAACATTCTAGCCGATGTCCCTTAAGGAAGCGACATCGCTCCTTTCCTACACACATTGTTCACAGCTGACATTCTTACAATGGAGAACACCCTAATAGGGACATATGCCGACGAAACCGCGATCCTTTCATCCAGTCAAGGCCCTCCACTAAGCGAGCTTCCTACTTTAAGACCATCCGAACAGGTTATCCCACTGGTTCAAATCATTGAAAATTAAGATCAACGACTAAAAATCTTCTCATGTCACTTTCTCCCTCTCCATTCCTCACACAGATGAAGTAAAATATCTCAGTCTACTGTTTGACAGAAGGCTCACATTGGGCCCCTACCTCAAAACCAAACGTAAACAACTAAATAGCCACCTACACATCCTCAGGCCTCTCATGAAATCTGATTTGTACATC